TTTACATTTTGGTATGTACACCACTAGATCACGAGTTTAATGTGGGGCTTATTTAATAATATTAAAACCTTGTATATTTTGAAAAATATACAAACGGGAAGAGCTGGGGCAGTAAAAATGCTTATGACAGCCTAACATCCCCTGTTGATGGGTCACCTCGGTATTTTTCAGGTAAACGGAATTATTTTTAATGAAATATTCATCTGGTCAATAAAGGGTCGTATGGCAATTCTAATCGGATAAAATGAAATGCTTACTGTTCTTCTGCAGTTCGTCCAAACTCTGATGTTTTTAGGGGTCCTTTTTGCCCTTTTCTCAGTTTGCAGTGTTTAGATTGAACTGTTGAGCATTCATCTGGCTTGATATTTTCACGTTTTATCCTCGTATAATTCATAAATGCTTTTTAATGAATTGATAGCAAGCCATGCACCCAGGAGTGTCTCAAGAGGAGGCAGAGGATGTAGTTTCTTTAGCATTGTCTGTTGTATTTGGAACTATGACATTCTGTCTGCTGATTTCTTTGTTACTTCTGTATTTCGTCAATAGGAGAAGGAAAGGAGGTAAATATATAAATTAAATATAATTTGCATGATCGAGAGAGAAATGTGAAGATTTATCCTGATTTCTTGGCTGAATGAATTTTCATGTTTACAGAGACATTCATGCTATATTTTATTATTATTATTATTATTGCACCCCAACCATAACTTTAACAACAAACCGACAAACAAAAAAAACGCAAAATCAATTCAATGTTACCGTTAAAATACTGAAACAGTTTACGAAAATCCCTTGGACACATTACAAGATTCAGCATTTTTTTTACTCGAACCAGATTATTTTTCTCGGTAATTTTGTTAAACTATGGAGGAAATATGCATTTGGTGCATTGGGCTAAATTAACTACTTAAATACTTGGTTATCGCTCATTCTAAATGCAAAGTAAACAAATAAAAAAGAAGTTCTTCAGGTTCTTTGGTGTAAATACTTAGAAATTCTACAAACTTGTTAATCATATAATCTTTTTTCAACAGGAATAATTACATGTAATGGGAGATAAGTGTTTGCGCACTATCGATATTTGTGGGTGTTTGATAAAGGTTTCATTTACAAACAATTTATTTTTGATTTTCTTTATGATAACAGCAAAATTTTTCCTCTACTAGCACAAGTAATTGGATTCGATACTGTCGGAAAATTTTTTCTGTTTCAGAACCGACACGATTGAAAAAAGTTCAAGGAGAACCCGAAGCAGTTAACTGGGTTTGTTCAGTTTCTTACTCCTATTCTTCTTCTCGTTTACTGCACCTCGCGCGATCGCACAGCGTAAGTAGCATCATAGTCGTAGCTCATTTTTAAAATGCCACTATTTATCATAAACTACAGAAAACAAACATCGCTAGTAAATGTAAGAAATTGATAATTTTATGGATCAACCCTTCCAAACTAAACAGTTGATTGATACATGTATGTATAAGCAGAATTTTTAGCGAGGATTGCTAAAACGAGGATTAAATTATGGCGCTTTTAGAGAGGACTTTGAGATCGATGAATCTGAATGTCGCTAACAAATACTCAATTAGTTAGTATAATATCTTTCTTTGCATTTAACAATTGCTACAATTACTTTTTGTTGAAAGCATACTTTTAATATAATTCTTCAAATGTGTGTCTCGCTAAAAAGTCTACTTAAATGGTACGCATATTCCATTAAAATTATTGTTTCAGAAAACAGAAAGAGGAAGTACGAAGATATCAACCTGCATGCAACAGAAAATGAAAATCTTCTAAGAAAGTCACTGGAAATGGATGCTAAACCAAATGTTCCATATCATGAAAGAGGTTACATGTATATTTTAGAAGAAACAAGCGCCAGAATAACAGACATCAAAGATGAAAGCAATACAAAAGTTTCTACTCTAAATGCTGCCTGCAAGAATGGAAAGACAGATGCGTGTAGATATATCATCAATCGCTATCCAGATATGCTTAATCAGGTAGATGATGAAGGATGGAATGCAACATTATACGCTGCACAAGGAGGAAACGTTGAAATTCTAGAACTTCTGCAAGAAAAAGGCGTCAATATGATATATGAAAACAAGTTTGGCAAAAATATTCTTCACATTGCTTGTGTCAATTCCCGATTAGAAATGTGTCAATATATCGTCCAAAGGTATCCAGATATTCTTAAACAGGTAGATAATTTTGAAGGGTTTAATGCTGCACTATACGCCGCACAAGGTGGGAATGTTGAAATTAAGAACTTCTAGCAGAAAAAGGCGTCGACCTCTTATATAAAGACAAGTTTGGCAGAAATATTCTTCATATCGCTTGTGTACATTCCCAGTTAGAAATGTGCCAACATATCGTCCAACGTTATCCAGATATGCTTATACAGGTAAATAATGAAGGACAGAATGCTGCATTATACGCCGCTCAAGGAGGGAATGTTGAAATTTTAGAACTTCTAGCAGGAAAAGGCGTCGACATGACATATAAAAACAAGTTTGGCAGTAATACTTCCGACATTGCTTGTGTCAATTCTCAATTAGATATGTGCTGGCGAATCATCCAGCATTATCCAGATATTCTTAAGCAGGTTGATATTTCTGAAGGGTGGAATGCTGCATTTTACGCCGCAAAAGGAGGAAATGTAATAATCTTAGAACTTCTGGCAGACAAAGATGTTAATCTGATGTATAAAGACAAACTTTGCAGAAATATTCTTGACATTGCTTGTGTGTTTTCCCGATTAGAAATGTGCCAACATATCGTCCAACATTATCCAGATTTGCTTAATAAGGTAGACAATGGAGGAAACAATGCTGCCTGTTATGCTGCAACAGGAGGGAATGTTAAAATTTTAAAACTGTTGGCAGAAAAAGGCGCCGACATGACTTATAAAAACAAGCATGGAATGAATATTCTCCACTTTGCCTGTAGGTTTTCTAACTTAGAAATGTGCCAACATATAATCCACCATTATCCAGATATGCTTAATCAGGTGGGTTATAAAGGGCTGAGTGCTGTATTATCCTGGCACAAGGTGGAAATGTCAGAATTTTAAAACTTCTGGCACGAAAAGGCGTCGACCTCTCATATAAAGACAAATTTGGCAGAAATATTCTTCACTTAGCTTGTGTCAATTCCCGATTAGAAATGTGCCAACATATCGTCCAACATTATCCAGATTTGCTTAAGCAGATGGCTAATTATGAATGGTGGAATGTTGCATTTTACGCCGCTCAAGGAGGGAATGTTGAAATTTTGAAACTTCTTGCAGAAAAAGGCGTCGACCTCTCATATAAAGACAAATTTGGCAGAAATATTCTTCACTTAGCTTGTGTCCATTCCCGATTAGAAATGTGCCAACATATCGTCCAACATTATCCAGATTTGCTTAAGCAGATAGATAATTATGAAGGGTGGAATGTTGCATTATACGCCGCTCAAGGGGGGGATGTTGAAATTTTGAAACTTCTTGCAGAAAAAGGCGTCGACATGACATACAAAAGCAAGTTTGTCAGAAATATTCTTCACACTGCTTGCTTACATTAAAAAATTAGAAATGTGCGAACATATTGTCCAACATTATCCAGATTTGCTTAAGCAGGTAACTAAAGAAGGGAACAATGCTGCTTGTTATGCTTCAATGGGGGAGAGGGGCTGTTGAAATTTTAGAACTTCTCGCAGAAAAAGGCGTCGGCATGAGATATAAAAACAAGTTTGGCATTAACATTCTCCATTATGCCTGCTGTGTTGTCTTCCAAATTAGAAATATGTCAATATATCATCAAGCATTATCCAGAAATGATTCATCAGGTAGGTGATGAAGGGTGCAATACTGCATTATGCTGCGCAAAAGGTGGAAATGTTATTATTTTAGAACTTCTGGCAAAAAAAGGCGTTGACCTCTTATATAAAGACAAGCTTGGCAGAAATATTCTTCAAATTGCTTGTATGTTTTCCCGATTAGAAATGTGCCAATATATCGTCCAACGTTATCCAGATATGCTTAAGCAGGTGGATAATCGTGAAGGCTGGAATGCTGCATTTTACGCCGCACAAGGAGGAATGTTGAAATTTTTAAAACTTATGGCAGACAAGGGCATCGACATGACAAATAACATCAAGCTTGGCAGAAATATTCTTCACATTGCTTGTGTCAGTTCCCGATTAGAAATGTGCCAACATATCGTCCAACATTATCCAGATATGCTTAATCAGGTAGATAATGAAGGATGGAATGCCGCATTATACGCCGCTCAAGGAGGAAACGTTGAAATTATAGAACTTCTGGCAGAAAATGGCGTCGATCTGACACATAAAAACAAACATGGCTTTAATATTTATCACATTGCTTGCATGAATTCTAAATTAGAGATGTGGCAACATATCATGCAACATTATCCAGATATGCTTATTCAGCTTAACAATGATGGATGAACTGCCGCATCATGCGCCCGCAAGGAAGAACTATTCAATCTTACGAAATCTAGATGAAAATTGCGTCGTTTTCTCTAGCAGGGTAAAACGAAGGATGATTGATTGATTAATCATGAATTTGTTTTACGTCCCTTTTGAGAATGTTTTCACTCATATAGAGACGTCGCGTCGCCGTATACAAGTGAAGGGCTTCAAATTTTTACCTTTACACTGCAATCAGGGCTGATGAGAGGTGATGGATCTTTATTTCCAGCGCCTGCAATGACACAGTCTTATCCGAAGGACCTCCAGCTTTCATTTCAAAGTGCACATGACGAAAGAACAATTGTTATCTATTTTTATATCGACTTAGGTCAGTCGCAGCCGAGATTCAAACTCACGACTTTCAGTTCACGAAAATGAAGAATGAAATGCTGTCGCTCTAGCATATAAAAACTAAGCTGATGTTTATGTACGTATTTTTGTATTTAAAACGTGTAGACTTTTGTGATTCTACGTAATCGGTAAGTTATGCTAGTTCTACATATCTGATATCAAACCTATAGTAAAAACATTTTTATATAAAAAGTATATTCTATCGAAGATATGTTATGTGACATTCTTATGGTGTTTTCTTAGATTTCTACGTATATTCATTTTTACAATTAAATTATGCATATATAGATTCCTAGACCTCTATTTATTTTGAAACCTGGCAGCTTCAGATTATTTTATAAATTTGAATCTGAATTTTCCAATACTAGTGCATTTTATTGATTACGTGTACTTAGAGAAGAAAAAAAAATTGTCGGTGTAAATAACAATAATAACCCCCTAGAATAATGATCAGGGGTCAATTTTTTGCCCTCAGATAATACCAACCGTTCGAAAAATGCACTCGGTATTATATGACGTCGAGAACTTGCCCTTTTGCCCTCAGAAAAGTTTCTTCACCCCAAAAATCTGTATACACTACGTAAAGAAAAATGACCCACGTAAAATAAAGAAACCCGTAAGGTTTAAATTTGAAATTGTTAGGAAATAATAAAAAATCAAGAGACCTGTTGGCTAAAATACTCAACTGAATTAATTTGGGATTAAAAAATGATTTGTTGATCTTATCATTAGATTATACAACAAAAAGGTTTTCGATTTCCGTTCAGATTAATGACATTAGGCTGAATACACATAACAATTTATTTTCCTAAATCTTTATTTCAGTGAGTAGAGATAGGAGGAACCCTTTCATTGATTTTCTGAGTTAACTTTGTTATATTGCAAATATAATAATTGATATTTTTCTTTACTTATATTGTGCATAAGGGTAATGTCTACTGTCTCTGAAATTCTATTCTTTATGTCTTGGCTATTTATCCGTGGATATAATAAAACATGCCATTAATGTGTGCAAATTATAAAGGCCTAAATGAAATCCAAGGGAAAACAGTTACTGATATATGAAGCATTTCACGGTTTGTTAGAAAATTACCTTTCACGGTGGTTTTAATTTCACGGAGAATCATTTGTAAATATTCAGGTACTATGACTGTTTCTAAATAGAAATTACGTGAAATAATAATCACGATGGTTTAAAGTTCGCGGAAAATTCTTAAATCGTGAACATAGTGAAATTAAAAACACCGTAATATTTTCCACTTCTACAGTATTAAAAGATTGAGGGGCAATATGAAAACCAACTGTCCTTCTGTATTCAATAATCCAGATATGAAAAAAAAGATAGATTACATGATAAGTACGTTCTGGTCCCTGCCGACAAAGCAGGTTACAACATTGTCTTCGGTTGTAAGGCTCATTATAAAAATTGTATTTTTGAAGAACTTGGATTTAATTCAATAATTAGTAATCCTACTTATACTCGTACTTCCCTTTCTAATGAAGACATTCTTCAACATCATATGTAAATTTTAAATATTTTAAATATTCCACATAGCCAAAATGAATTCGAACTACCCTTTAGATATTGGGTTCCAAAATTTCATAAAAATCCTTACAAACAAAGATACATTGCAGGTTTCAGTAATGTTCTACCAAGCCTTCTTCGTTATTTTTCAATAGGATATTGACAGTAGTGATGGAAAAACTTCGAGTACTGTGCAACAATATATTCAAGAAGTGGTGTGAATCACATGTGGATACTCAAAAATTCCAAAAAATTTGGACAATCTGAAATAACTGCAATGAACCAAAATCAACAGCTGTAAAACTTACGACTTTTCATCTCTATACACAACCATTCCCCACGATAAATTAAACTTCGTTTTTTTTTTTTTTTGTATCATTGACTGCTGTTTTTTTTTTTTCAGTAAAAATGTAACTCGTAAATTTACTTACCTTGTCATTGGTCATTTGCAAAATTATTTTGTTAAAACCAATCTGATTCGCACACAGGTACTCTGAAGTTGAAATAAAAATGATGCTATAGTTTCTGATTGAAAATATCTATGTGGTTTTGGAGACCAGGTATTCCAACAATCCAGTGGAATTCCCATGCGTACAAATTGCGCTCCGTTATTAACAGACCTATTTTAATATTCATATGAAGCAGAAATTGAGCAAAATCTTATGCGTGAAAAGAAGAAAACATTTTCTGTAGCCTTTAAACGGACATTTAGATGTATTGGCGACGTATACCCGGTAGTCAATTAACAATGGTCATTCCCATTTCTAGGTCGATACGATATATCCTGGTGAGCTTGAGATAAAAGATACCACAGGGTCTGTCACATCTGTTTCATACTTGGATATTTTACTTGAAAAAGACGTTAATGGTAATCTAAAAGTTACATGTATGTTATATGATAAACGTGATGACTTTAACTTTTCTATCGTCAACTTCCTTTACGTATGCAGCAATATACCTTCATCACCTGCATACGGAGTTTATATATCTCAGTTGATTCGATATGCAAGAGCATGAACTACGTATGAACAATTTCTTAAACGAGGTAAATTATTGACAAGCAAGTTGATGAAACAAGAATATCAACAGTCTCTTTTAAAGTCATCATTTTGTAAATTCTATGGTCAATGCAATGACCTTGTCAGCAAATACAATTTATCATTGAGACTTTTATTAACTTTATGCAGTCATGTTGTGAAGATTTCCAGATCATTAAAAAAGTGGTGATGATCTTCAAGGGTTCATAACCTTTATACCATTAAATGTACATAACATAATAACACAAAAACAAAATTATATGCAGTCAAATGGAAATGTTTTTTTTTTTTTACAATTTTGAGTTGCATAAACATTTGTCATTACAGGGACAGGGATTTGGTAGGGAAATCGCAACGCTCTTCCCCTTATAATATGAAGAGTTATTTTGATATATACACCCCCCATTACATTGGAAATATACATTTTTTAATCTGCGCCTGTAACTGATTGTAACTGAATGTAATGTGGACAACGGGAGAAAACTCTTTAGAATGTTAAATTCTTCTCTTTTTTTTTGGGGGGGGGGGGGGTTGGGGGTGGATGCAATGATCTTTGATCCCTTAAATTTAACCTTACCATTTGTACTTCAGACTTTTTTTTACCCCAATCTATACCTATATTTCTACTCAGGTCCTGTCAACTTCTTAAAATGTCATCCAATTAAAACATAGTATGAATTAATTCCTACTGAAATACATGTTATGATGTGTTCACCTTACGACACGTGCAGTGCAATTTAATAATGATAATGAGAAAACTAGCAATATTTAGGTAATGCACGACTAATGTGATCTAGAAAATTTAAAAATGTGTTCACATACATGTAAAGTACGAGAAAAAATTAAAATTATCATAACAAACGATGTTTGAAAATAACTTCGTCATCTAGGCCCATTTTCAAAAACAGGCACCATGTTTGTGTTGGGGATGGGATGGGGATGGGGGGCTGTTGAAAAAATTGATTTGGTATCTGTTTTTTCGAGGATGATTTTGCTTATCCTAATACAAAAAAGTTTTCACATTTTGATAAATTCATCAAAAACGCTTAACACTAAAATAATATTATTTGTTGTTGAGAAAAATAAATTTTCTATGTTTTAATTGTGGCTCAAAATTTATATCCACTTTCTACCTAAACTTAATTCAGATCGTTAATTAAATTCTGTTGTTTTAGACTAGTAATGAATTTACAATATGAAATACCTACAAGAGAGTCACGAGTCACTTGGTCACGAGAGAATTTCATGCTTAATTTGACGAATACATGTATTATATAAATTTTAGAATTATTTTGACTTTTTCCTTGATTAGCCCAATATGCTACTTTTGTTCCTGTTAACTGTATGGAAAATGTCTTTATTTGATATGCCGATTTGTCTATATTTGGTTTGATTTTTAAATCACAGTAAATCACAATTCACGTTTTTACCCAAAGCACAAACACATTAAACACTGTTACTGACTGTTTGCCAACGAACCATCTCTACCCTATTCAATAAACGAATGCCCTTTAAAACACCAAATATTACAATTCCTCAGATTATGTCCTTTATTTTCTCAGTTGGGTGATTTAAAATGCAAACGGAGTGTAAGTAGTATCAGATTTTAACCCTGGCCTTAAAAAACCTTTGCAAAATGTAAGCAGACAATCATATACATTACCATGCTGGTATGCATGGTACAATGTAAATATGTAGTGATCCTATCTACCTCACAGAAAAGAAATGAATAGAAAAGTGTTTTATCTAATTATGTCCTTCATGCTTTAGTGCTAACTTTTCGTTGAGGAAATAGTAGTTTTCATACACATGATACCCATCTGGATCCATAAAGAATCTGAACTGACGGTTTCTCTCATATCCTAGTTTGGGAATTGAACACCGACAGGAACAGACGATTGACAAAAGCGTCACTTCTTGCCATGGATACTATCTCTAAACAAACGTATATAAAGACTTAAGCTTTGAATAGCAAGACTTCTTGGACTGTGTTTATGGGACAATTAAACCGTGTAAAGCCAGCAGAAAGGAATCTTTGATAAGTGATTGTAAGTAGTAAATGA